CGTCGGCTGCGCTGGTCGCCCCAGGCTCGCCCGCCGCACGCGCGGGCCGCTCGGCCCCTCGGCTGGCCCAATTCATTGGTTTTGTTTGTTCTTGTTTGTTTCGCTTGTCCGTCGGCTGCGCTGGTCGCCCCAGGCTCGCCCGCCGCCCGCGGGCGCTCGGCCCCTCGGCTGGCCCTATTCATGGTTTTGTTTGTTCTTGTTTGTTTTCGCTTGTCCGTCGGAGCACTGGTCGCCCCAGGCTCGGCGAAAACAAACAAAAACAAACAAAACCGCGGAATGGGGCCAGCCGAGGGGCCAAGCGACCGCGGGGCGGCGGGCGAGCCTGGGGCGACCAGTGCAGCCGACGGGCAAGCGAAAACAAACAAAAGCAGACAAAACCAGTGAATTGGGCCTGCCGAGGGGCCGAGCCACCGAAAGGCTGCCAGTGCGATCGACGGACAAACGAAAACAAGCCAGAACAACCGAAATCAGCGAGGGAAGGGGCCATGCGAGGGGCCGAGCGACCTAGCGCTATTGCGCGCCGCTAAGACAGGGCCCGAAAATTTGTAATCTACTTCTTGTAATTGCTGTTGCTGTTGCTTTTTTGGGGCGGCCCCGAACGCAATCTACTTCTTCCGCCTTCCTACTTCATGTTTCTACCTACTTCTTCCGACCGGTGGGTATCCCTTATGCGGGTGGGTGGGTTCAGGAGGGGATTTCTCGCACCACCAATCGCCCATTGATCGCCGATGGGGGTCCCATAGACCCGCCCCGTCAGTACTGTGTGGATTGGCCATTGATCGCCGATGTCAGGTCGATGAATTTCCCCTTGGCCAGTCCCCTCCTGGGGTCAGAGGGGCAAGAAGTCAGGATGAGAATGCGGTCCTAGATTTCCCCCACTTCCATGGTCGTCAACACCTACCATTTTGATGCGCGGGCTTCAGAAACGAGGGCCGCTAGATGCTCCAGAATCCTTGGGACGTGCGTCTTGATCCAATCGCATCATGAGATTACTCTCGTCCAAGGGGGGCGGATGACGCAGACCCTCTCAGGGTCTCGCGTTGCGAGCAAACTCACGACGGACAGTGTTTGTCAATGTTCGGTCCTTAGCAGGCCCACGAAACCGTCACAGCACGACTCTGGGGATGGGAATCCGGTCCCGGGGACAGGAATCCAGTCCATGGGTCTCACACGTCTGGATACCACGTGGCCCTGGGAACAGCCAATCAGGATGGAGCAGATCCGCAACCAGAACCAGTGTTTTCTGTGCGCGCCACGCGCACACCGTCGAACCAAAACACGACGCCCGGGCCTCCAAAGGCCCGTTCTGGGGCCCCGATGCCATCAAAGCACGGCACAGGATAACAGATCACAGGCTCCGACGTATTGTTCTAATAATGATGACAGGGTTGGTTAGAGGCGGGAGGGTCTGGTTATCGTTGATGAGCAGGTTGGCGATGATGTGGTTGGTATTGATTGGCTCAGTGAGTCCGTGAGGTCTTTTCCCCTGTCCACTTCCCCTTCCCTCTCTTCCCTGATCCTGTCCTTGCCTCCCCTTTCAAGTTTCAGCCCTCTCCCAGCATCCATCCCTGCCCCCCTCCACCTGTCCAGGCCGAGCCCCCTTCAGCGCCACACTTCTGCAAAGTGGATGCCAGATCGCTACCACTTGCCACTCAGTCTTAATCTGATTTATCGCAAGCTGGTATTTGGCGAGGGCGCCGCGTCAAAATAATCAGGACACGGAATCCAAGGTTGGCAGCAAATTAGGTGCGCGGCATGTCCTGCACCCGAGAGAGTATCCAATCCATTTTTGGAAAGTTGACAGTTTCTCCTTGGGTTGGTCGAAGAGTCTCCCGCAAACGGAATTTTCGATTGTGCTGGAGTTCTAAAATCAGAAGTGCCGACACCACGTGTCGAAACGAATGCGAAATACTGTGCGAACACATGGGTACCCTTTTTCGATCTTCCTCTCTCGCTCTCTCCCCTTTCTCTTTCTCTCTCTCTCTCTCTTGCTCTTTGTTGCTTTATGATAATGTTGCATGTTTGTGTTTGTTTCTCGCTCGCGCTCTCTCTCTCTCTCTCTGGATATGCTCCAAGTGTGGCGACTATTCCTCAAACAGCGCTTTCGCTTAGGGCTTCTTTTGCTTTTTTAAATGAGGCGGGCCTGCCCGTCGGTTTGGCGTCTATGTGGTCTCCGACGCCGCCCCGTCGGTCTGGCGGCTATGTGGTTGCCGTCGCCGCCCCGTCGCCGTCTCGACCTGCGTTATTTTGCACTGTTTTGCGTTACTTTGCATTGCAATGATTTGGTTTGCATTGCTCATATAATGCGCCGCATATATTGAACCATATAGAGCGCACCACATACGTTGCACCACATAAAGAGCACCACGTAGTTTACACCGCCTAGTTTGCACCACACGGTGTGCTAGAACACCTTGTCGGGGGTCCGCGTTGGCTCACAGATACCGTATACAGTTTTGCCACCCTTTATCTCTCTCTCTCTCTCTCTCTGTCTCTCCCCCACCGATGCGATCCGTTTGGTGATCTCTGGCTCTGCCTCTCTGGCTTTCTCTCTCTCTCTCTCTCTCTCTCTCTCCCTCAAACCGCATCAGTGTCATTGCGGAAGAGTTCAGCCGCCAACCTGACCATGTGACCACGGTCGCAATTGCTTTTCATCATTTCCCGCCCAACCTGATCGAAAAAAACAAACAGCGCTACCGCTTCGCGGTCGTACTCCACAGCGTCGCGGTCGCCATGTACGACAAACGGTACCGTAGCCTACCGCTGCCCCACAGAAGAGCAGGTTTCACAAACGCTCATCTGGGTAAGTTCGAGCCAAGCCCCATGCTTACCAATGTGGCCCCATGACCAACGAAGGCTCCCAGGGAACCTCGACGACCTCTGGGAGGAAGCTCGCCGTGTCTGGGACATCCAAGACGACGAAGAGGAAGACCCCTTGAGCTTCGGTGGAGGCATGGACGACCTCGACTCCCCGCCCATACAGCCGCCGCCGATGCAGCTTCGACGACGACTGCCCCTCGCCGCTCGCCCAGGGGCACTGGCCTCAGTCGTGTCTACTGGAGACCCCGAGGCCGCGCCTCCGGGCGACGGGGGTGATGGTGTTCCAGGCCAAGGTGCCGACCCAGGGGCACCGACCATGGTCGCGCCCACGGGGGAGCTTGGCCCGCCACTATGCCACTGCAGCGCTGGTACGGACGCACCGGCTAGGGCGAAGCTCCCCCCGCCACCTCCAAGGGCAAGGACGAGCGCTAGCCGCACCATCCCAAAGCACGAAGTTCTTAGTAAACAAATTGAAGTTACCCTCGCCGAGGGAGCCTCGACGCAGCTCTCCCCAGAGGAGGGGCCGACCGCTGCCCTCTCCTCAACCCAGAGTCGACCTACAGGTCAGACTGGCTCTGGACAAACTCGGTGACGGCCAAGCGAAGGCCAAAGATCGAGCCAACTTCGACCTGGCCTAAGGTCGAACCGGTGGCTACGCAAAGTACTGACATGCACGACCACACCAAGTGCCCACACAGCGTGGCCGTTCATGCGACCCCCCGACAGGACAGGTACCCACCTTCAGGCCGAGGGCGCGACAAGGGCACGCAGCCGCTCCCGACTGCCGTCCGCGCCCAGAGGCCGCGCTATGGGCCAGGCTCGGGAAGTGGCTCCCCGCCCAAACGCCAGAACCCCGCCGTCCCAGCCATACAGTCGGGGCCCTGAAGAAGGAACCCTTTTCGTTGGGGAGGGGCTCCGTGTTCCTTGATTGCTTCACAGTTTGCCTTGGGTTTCCCTTTGGTTTTCGATGGGCAACCGAAGTTCAACTTGTGGATGAACGGGGCCTCGTTCCTTGTTCAGGGTTCCCTGGGTCAACGCTCCGACTGTAGGCTCCTCCACCGTCCACGCGGGCCCCTGCCGCGCCGCCGGCCCCAGCTGCCCCGACACCCAACACCCCCCCCCCCCGTGACGGAGCAGACAGTGCGTCCCCCGCCGGGCCACGGGGCCCTGACATGCGCCGCCCCACGGCGGCCCCCGGGCTGAACCGGTGCCCACGCAGGGCGCCGCTCGCCGCGCCGACCTTGCCGCGCCCTTCGCCAGCAGAGCTGTTACTTCCAGCGAAGGCATCCATACACCACCACCGTGCTAGGCCAGGGCCATCCTGGGCCCCAGGATGGTGTGTAGACCCTCCTGGCCTCGGCCAGGATGGCGTATACACTATCCCAGGGCCCAGGATGGCCCTGGCCTGGCACGGTGGTGGTGTATAGATGCTTGCTGCGTATTATTCCTGGCCGCCCACGCCACGCTCCGAGCTCAGCCCAGGAGTCGAGCCGAGCCGAGTCGAGCCGAGCCGAGTCGAGCCGAGCTCCAAGGCCGAGCCGCAGGAGTCCCACGACTCCCTGCGTCACCAGTTCTCTGCCCCCTCACAGAGGCCGCGCCCTCACCTCCCAGCAAGGGCTGCTCGTGCAGCGCCTCGTCCGCGCGCGCGCGACGCCTCCGCGCCCCTTTCCACAAACCTCACGCCTGACGAGGCAGCACCCGTCCAAACGCTGCACGACCTTCTGAGGGCCGCGCACGCCGGTGCAGGGTCCCCACCGTGGCCTTAGGCCCACCTTCCGCCAACCCGATCCCCCGCGCGGCCACGCGTCATCGGTGTCTGGCTGCGGTGACAGGGGACGCCCCGCTTTCCGCAAGCCGCACTGCGGCCTAGACCTTGTCCCCTGCGTGCAATGGCGGCGTTGGCTACCGCAGAAGCCGGCTGTCGACGGGACTCTTGCTAGTTTGTCCGATCTCTTTCTCGCTACCCCCCCCTCTATCTCTCTCTCTCTCTTGTTCTGTCTCTCTCTCTCTCTCTTTCTCTCCCTCTTTCTATGTACATATTTCTCTCTCTCTCTCTCTCTCGCCCTCGTTCCATTCCTCCCTCTCCGCGCGCCCCATGCTCGCGCCGAAGAAGCCGGGGCGGCCCAGCCCTGGCCCCGAGCCGGCGCAGCGCCTCCGCAAGGCCGGCGCGGGCCGCCGCCATGGCGGCTCGCCGGCGCGCCGCGCCGGCGGCCGCGGCCGCTCCGGCAATGCTGGCGCTGGCGCTGTCGGGGCTGCCGCTGGTCGCGCGGGGGACCAGTCTTCGGTGGCGACTCGTAGCAGCTTGCGTGTCCTCTCTATCCCGCCTCTATAGAGTGCACTTGCGTGCGCCAGCGTCTAGATGAGAAGACAGCGATTTCGCGTCGACCAGCGTCGATGTATCATCCACTCGCGCCGGCTCTCGTTGATTGGCGTCCATTTTTAGCGTCGATAAGAACCGATTGGCGCGTAGTAGCGTCAGTTAGCGGCGACTCGCAAGAACCAGCAAGATGACACAGAAGGCCCCGATGAGTTGCCACGGAGCCCCACCACCGACGATATGGGTTTCTCAATCCCCGGAGGTTTTCCGGGACCTCGGCCTCCGGGGCCCCCTGCCGCAGCGGCCGGTCAGCGCACATCATTACCCACCGGGGGGTCGGAGGGAAGAGGGTTTGCTATGGGCATGGGCGCGGTATGTCGAGGGGAGCAACAAGTAGCAAACATAAAAACTCGGAGGTCCGCGCAGATTTCTCGGGCATGGGTGCGGTATTCAGGAGGGGGAAGAACATACACACAGACACAATTAATCGTCGATCCCCCCAAAAATATGGGGAAATATGGGAATTGGGCGGGAAGACAAGAACCCAGAAACTATGGGAAAATATGGGGAATCATCTTATTTGTTTGTATTTTTTTGTGTGTCCTTGGGCCCCTTGAGGTATGTCGGACCCTGGGGGAGGCCCCCGTGCGAGCGGGGATGCCCATCCGACAACACGCACCCATCGCCTCCGCCGTCCCCCCTGTGGGTATGGGTGTGTGCTGCTCGCTCGCCGCTGCCAGGCCTCGGGACAATCAAGAATGGGTCCTTGGCGAGAAACTACCCCCAGGTTGCCGTCGGGACCTCTGGGGCCGCGGATCGGAACAAAAACAGATCGGCGGATGTCAGGGCCTGCTGTGGGCGCGCCCGGGCAGGCGAGGAGCACAGGCCTCCCAAGGGGGCCTGGAGCAGATGGGGCTGCAGGATCCCGCCGCATCGCCGATGTCTCCTTGCCGACATCGCCAATGCATCGCCGATGTCGCCGATGCATATGCATCGGCGATGCTGCTCGATTTTCGCCCCAGTTACCTGGAATCCACTTGGAAGGTCTTCATAGGGGGTGGGCGCTGTCCGACCCAGATCCGCACCCCCGTGTGTTTGTTCTTCCCTTCCAACATGTGTTCCTCGCCAGGAGACCCTTCGTTGTCATACAGGCTGTTTCCCCTTTCTTTGAAGCTCTAGCCAGAGCGCACCCTTGGGCCTCACTTACAGGTCCAGGGGTTTTCACAATTTTCAGTCTCTGGGGGCCCTTACCGGGCCCGGGGGCCGTCAAAAGAAAGCCCAGGACGGGAACCCAGCCCTTTGAAGGACTCCAGCGTCTGGGTGACGGGAGGGTCATGTCCACGTCGACGAACACGAATAACACGACGACGACGACGACGACGACGACGACGACGACGACGACGACGTCGGCAGCGGCGGCAGCAAAGACGGCGGGCGCCGGCGGCGACAACGACGACAGGGCTTCCTTTCTTTCTTCGCACCTCGGTCAGTGGCAGGGTCTGCTGCCTGTCTCAGCACTCATCTGGTTCGGTTGAATCAAGACTGTCGCAGGGTTGCTGATCAAACGGTGGTGGAAGGGCTTGCATGGAACCGCTGGCGGCGAGGAATCCCGAGAAGCAGGACGGGGATAGGAGCAGGGTGAGGACCAGGAGGGGAACTCTGACAATGCGGATGATGATGGTGGGACATGGAGGTGGAGGCAGAGGGGGAGAGGGGAGCGGGTAGATGATGTACAGAGGGCAGGAACAGCAGTGGGATGATGATGATGATGATGATGATGATGATGATGATGATGATGAGGAGGAGGAGGAGGAGGAGGAGGAGGAGGAGGAGGATGAGGAGGAGGAGGAGCATGCTATGACGAAGCGCAAGATGGGCGAGGAAGAGGAGGAGGAGGTTCAGGACGCGACGGAGGAGCAGGAGGCGGTCGTGGAGGCTGGGCGGGCGCCTGGGATCGCAGGCCTCGCCAGCCGTGGCCGACGAGTTTTTCGACCTCGTCGCCTCGCGGGGCCTCGCGGAGCCGCCGGCGGGGCTCATGCTCTGCTGCCTGGGGCTGTCCGAGGGCGCGGCTGGGCTGGCCCGCAGGACGCGCGCCGCGGGGACGACGTCGGCTGCAGCAGGAGCGTCAAGTAGAACATCGGCCTGCCAGCGGGTGCCCCCACGGAAGTTTCTGACCCCGGGCGCCCCGGGGACCTACGGCAGTTCGGGGGCACCCCGGGGCTCTCAAACGTCGGCGAGGGCTGCGCCCCAAGATTGCCAAAGCGAAGATGATGTATCGGATGTGAATATTATACTTGGCCACAGTGGCCCGTCGCTGGTCGTGCCTCTTTTCGGTGTTCGCCCGCGCGTGGGTCCCCCTGTCGTTGAACAAGCGATGCGCGGTGGCAGCGGCTTGCGCGCTTTTGGGGTATCTGGCCCCACCCCCTGAGGCCCCCCGTGAAGCCGCGCACCCGGAGGACGCGTCTTGCCCTGGGTCGCTCCTGCGTGCAGCCGAGGCGGGGCGCAGGGGGGCGCCAACGGAGGGGGGGGGGCGGGCTGGGCCCCTCCGATGTCCCCTGGCCAGCTCGCGGCTCGGGAGCCGCGTGGAGCCGGCCCCTCCTTCCCCCTTCCCCCCTCCCCCGCCTCCCCCTAGTGGTCATCAGAGAAGGGGATGTGGTGAGGGGGTCGAAGCGTAGGCGCCGCTTTTCTCGATCGCGGGAGTGAGCTTCGCGCCGGTCGCTCGCTTCTAGTTGCTCTGTGCTCTGTGCTTCGCTCGACAGTGATTGACTTGGGCGGGCGCCGAAACGCTTTGCCCCAGGCCTCAGGCGTCGTATTTTCTGTGTTTGCAACATGGGCCTTCAGAGGTCTGGGCCTTTTTATTTGCTGGGGCAAGCTCTGCACCCCGAGTTGTCTATGTTGAACGGCCCCGAGGCCCGATAAGAGCCCGCCGAGCACGGCCAAGAGCTTGGAAAAAACCCGTTCTGTGGTCGCTTGGAGGGGGGAGGGTTGGAACCGGACAACCCCCCCCTCCACTTGATGGAGGGGGGGGGTGTTCGAACCCCCCCCCCCGTGACGGAGGGGGGGGGCGGATTTGAACCCCCCACCACTCCATTTGCTTCCCCTCTCCTCGGGCCGGCGCTGCGCTTGGGCTTGGGCGGCGACTGGCGACGGCGGCGGGGACGACGATTGGAATTTCTGGGCCGGCGCCGGCAGGCGCCTGCGGCGACTGGCGGCGGTGGCGGGGAGCGTCGACGAGGACGACACGACGGTAGTGGCGGTGGTGGTGGTGGTGGTGGTGGTGGTGGTGGCGGTGGTGGTGGTTGTGGTGGTGGTGTGGTGGTTTGTTGTGGTGGTGGTGGTTGTGGCGGTGGGTGGTGGTGGTGGTGGTGGTGGTGGTGGTGTGGTGGTGGTGTGTGCTGGTGGTGGTGGTGGTTGGTGGTGGTGGTGGTGGTGGTGGTTGAGGCTGGTGGTGGTGTGGTGGTGGGTTGTGTGGTTGGTGGTGTGCTTTTGGTGGTGGTGGTGGTGGTGGTTTGTGGTGGTGGTGGTGGGTTGTGGTTGTGGCGGTGGTTTGTGGAGGTGGTGCTGGTGGTGGTGGTGGCGGTGGTGGTAGTGGTGTGGTGGGTTGTGGTGGTGATGGTGAGTTGTGCTGGTGGAAGTGGTGGTGTGGTAGACTGTGGTGGTGGTGCTGGTAGTGGTGGTGGGTTTTTTCTGGTGGTGGTGGTGATGGTGAGTTGTGGTGGTGGTGGTGGGTTGTGGTGGTGTGGTGGTGGTGTTTTTGTGGTGGTTTGTGGTGGTAGTGGTGGGTTGTGGTGGTGGCGGTAGTTAGTGGACGTTCGTTGTGTTGGTGGTGGTGGCGGTGGTGGTGGTGCTGGTGGTGTGGTGGTTTGTGGTGGTGGCGGTGGGTTGCGCTGCTGGTGGTGGTTGTGGCGGTGGTGGTGGTGGTGTGGTAGATTGTGGTGGTGGTGGTAGTGGTGGTTGGTTTTTGTGGTGGTGGTGGTAGTGGTGAGTTGTGGTGGTGATTGTGGTGGTGGTGGCTGTGGTGATGGTGGTAGTGGTTGTATGGTGCTGTTGTTGGTGGTGGTGGTGGTGGTGGGTTGAGGCTGTGGTGGTGGTGGTAGTGGTGGTGGTGGTGGTGGTAGTGGGCGGAGGGCGCGGCAGCGACCGCTCGCGGCGGGCAGGAGGTGGAGAACGAGGAGGGGAGAAGGCGAGGCTCCGAATCCGAGGAAAAGACGAGGTCCGAGGTTGGAGGTTCGAGGAAAAGGTGAGGCATGGGGAGGCGAGGAGGAGGCGAGGTTCGTGGCTGACGGCTTTGGGGCGCATTCTCCTCCTTGGGGCCCCTCGGGGGGCTTCCCGTCGCCACGGCGGGGCCCGCCTCGACCTTGTGGTCAGCGCGCGCCTCCTGCACGGGCCCTGGGACCGCTCCTTGCGGCGGTGGCCTGGACCTGCTGGTGCGTCTCGAGACTCTCGAGACGGAGGCGGTTGGCTTGTTCTGTTGCTTCGTGTTTTGTGTTTTGCTTGTTGTGTTTTTGTGCGTTGCCGAGACAGTGTTCGCGCATGCACGAACATGTGGTCTTGTCTCTCGAGACAGAGGTTCGTTGCTTGTCTTGCTTGCGCATGCAGGAGCAGCGTCGGGGCACCGGGGCCATCAGAAAAAAGCGGGGGCAGAACTAGAACTGCTCAGAGCAGGGCGTCGGGAGCTCGGGGGACCGCGCGTTCACAAAGGACCGTGCCTTCAAGGGCTTGGGACGCCGACGGAGGGCCGAAGATGTTGGACGCCGTTGGGTAGTTGTCTATAGGCCTCCCGGATTGCCCTCGCGGGGCCACGGCCAGACTCGCCTTGCCTGGTCGAGCAAGCCCTGGGGAAAGCTCCGGCGGACGAGCTTGAGGGAGTGGGTTCTCACCTTGGGGACGCCGCGATGGCAAACACATGGCGGCGGTTGGTTTTTTCAGTGCAGGCCTTCAGGGAGGGCCCGTTCCGTGCACGAGTTGGCAGCCGTGGGAGAAACCGGGGAGCTCCACGGCGGCGGAGGTCTGGGTTCGCCGGTGGCGACGGAGGGCCGAGGACGAGGGGGAGGAGGGGGAGGAGGAGGAGGAGGAGGAGGAGGAGGAGGAGGAGGAGGAGGAGGAGAAAAAGGAGGAAGGGGGAGGAGGAGGAGAGGAAGGGGAGGAAAGAAAAGGGCTTTGGATTGTATGCGCATGCTTTGGGTCTTGGGTGGTTCCCGCCGTCTTCGCAGGTTGTTCATGGTTTTCGGAACATCTCGGGCATGTTTTTTTCAAAGCTTTCCAGAAGTTGCAGAGGTGTGCGGATGTTTCTTGCGGGGGAGGACGGGGGGGAGGATCAGGAGGGAGGGGGGAAGAGAAGGGAGGAGGGAGGCGGGGGAGATAGGTGAGGAATGTCCGCAGTTGGATCAGAACGAGTGGTTCGTCGCGATATCCAGAGGTATGTTGGGCCGGTCTCGGGCCTTTTTTTGTTCCGCCCTGTCTCCCCACTCGCCCCCCAGCAGTCCCCAAGCAGGCGGCAAACGCAGACGCAACAACCCGTCTTGATCTGGTCACAGATTGGACCCCACACGGCGTCAAGGGGAACCGCTGGCCGGTCTGTAAAAGAGTCTTCGGGCTACTTTGCATCGTGTTGAGACCATCGGTGGCCTGCTCCGTTCTAAGTAGGCAGTCTTCGGGATGTCTTGCGGCCATGCTGGGACGGTTTTGGCCAGTCCTGAAGCCATTCTGGGAGTGCCGGGCTGTCTTCAGGCTGCCTTGGCCAGGCAGGGGTTCTGGATGTCCCTCGGGGTGCTGCTGGGGGCCCTGCGGGAGGAGCCGGCCATCCGCCAGGAGAGCCCCGCCCCTTGCTGGGCCAGTGCGGTGAGCTGCAGCAGGCACGTCAAGCAAGAATTCGGCCAGCCAGCAGGTGCCCCCACGGAAGTTTCAGATCCCCAGGTCGGGTCCCGGAGACGCCCAGGAGCGCTCTGGGGCACCACAGGAGGGTCAGAGTTCGACGAACAGTGCCCCTCCTGTTCGGGGACAGGAGCCAGGACCATGAAACGATGCTCGCAACTTCCACCGCGAACAGCAGAATGGCCATTCCGCGGGGCAGGCTCGCGATCGCGAGACGCTCAACAAGATACGTGCGCCACATGTCTCGGGCGAAGGCCCGCAGACCTTGGCGTACAGGTGTGCGGCCCCCCCCTCCTTTTCCTCATGCCAAGATTGCTCTTATCGTATGCATCTGCTACCGCAGAGAAGTGCCTGGCTGCGCTTCGCTGCGCCGAAGAGGCCCTGCCGCCCACCAGTGGCCCCTCGGCGCGCCGCTGCCACTCGCCTCCCTCTCCTCCGCCGCCCCCCTCCAGAGGATCCTGGAGGGGCTGGCGCCGCCCAGGCTCCCACGAGCCTGCGATCTCTCTTCTTGGTCGTTGTCTTCCTCTGTCTCTCTCTCTCTCTCTCTCTCGTTTTGACATTTCTCTCATCTCTCGCTCGCTCTCTTTCGTTTTCTCTAGTTCTCTCTCTCTCTCTCTCTCTTTCTCCGTTTCTCTTCTCGCTCTCTCTCTCTCTCTCATTCTCTCGCTCTCTCTCTCTCTCTCTCTCTCTCTATATATATACATACATATAGCTATAAAATTATATATGTTGTTTTCTCTCTCTCTCTCTCTCTCTTCTCTCTCTCTCTCTTTCTCTCCTGGTTTCTCTCCTTCCCTCTTCCGGGAACAAAGCGAGACGACCCATCTGTGTCGTTCCCGTGGTCACTATTGTGACCTCGGCGGGACGCTTTTCGGCGCACCTCTGGGACTCCGCCGCGTCGCTGCGCGCGTGGCCGCGAACCCGCCACGGTCGTGTCGCCCCTTTGGCGCTTGTTTCATCCCACCGCCTGCCTTGGTCGCACTGTCTGCCTGCTGCTCTCTACCTCTTTCGGAGTGCCCCTGCACTTTGGCGCTGTGCCTTTCTTGCTTCTTGCGCCGCACACCTCCACTTGCCGCTACTCTCCCCCTCTCCTCCGCTCCCCCTCCCCTCGCAGTCTAGCCGCGAGTGATTCGTGTGACCTCCTATGGGCGGATCTTTGGTCCTTACGCCGCGTGAACTAGCCTGGCCGCGCGCGTTCTCTCGCTAGACTGCCTACTCGCCGCCGCACGCGTGGTGTGTGTGTGTGTGTGTGCGTGTGTGTGTGTGTATGTGTGTGTGTGCGTGTGTGTGTGTATGTGTGTGTGCGTGTGCGTGTGCGTGTGTGTGTGTGTGTGTGCGTGTGTGCGTGCGTTTCCTCTGGCTCTCTATGCTCGGATGTCCTCCCGATCTTCCTTCCGCTCTCGCGAGCAGGTTCCGCGCGCACGTGGCCTTCTTCCACAAGCCCCCGTCGGGTGCCACGCTGGAGGAGCAGAGTTGTGCGGAAGCACAGCTGGAGAGGGCGGAGGAGAAGGATGAGGAGGTGGAGAGGGCGATGCAGGATGAAGTAGTGGGAGAGGGGTGGAGTCGCAGTCATGGGCAAAGTCGAGCGGGGATGGGTTCGGGGGGGATGCATCGACCCCGGATCGCCGGTCAATCGTCGACAGGGGCTCACTAGACTGCCCCGCGCAGAAACGAACCTTCGGTTTCGCCATCGGAGGCCCATCGCCGATTCCGAGTTGTTTTCCCCACCTCTGAGCCAATCCTGCCCTTGTGATTCCCCCTCAGGCACCAGCAGGAGAAAGCCGACGAAGAGGAGGAGGAGGATGCGAAGGACGAGCAGGCGTGGACCATGATGAGCAGGAGAAGGAGGTGAAGATACAGGGGTGAGGAGGAGGATCCGAAGACTCATCAGGACGATACGGTAGGTTCGTGTTGAGCCGGCGCAGCGACGACCCCCCCTGCGAGCGTTCAAGGTGGAGAGTCGGCATTGGAACGATCTGGCGATCGGAAAGCCGCCGATCGTTGAAGGTTGGGAGACCATCATGGTGTCAGAACCAACGCCAGGGTCGTCGCGATACCAACTTGTCGCCAGGGGGTGGATAGGAGAGGACCGGGACCAGCAGCTGGAGCAAAGTGTGTGACGTGGTGCCCATGTTCCGAAGGGTGGGTTTGCGCGGCAGTAGGCTACACGGTATGGCGTCTCCACCGCGCTCCCAACGAAGTCGGGTTGGCGCTCTGTTCTTGTTTAGAGAAGCAAACACGTGCGCCGAGACCTTGATGATATTTGTCACGATCAACGGCTCTGAGGTCCACCCATCTCCAACCAAACTTTCAAGTGTGTGTGTGTGTGTGCGCCCTGTCGTTCGTTGGCGACAGGGCGGGCAGTCATTCATTCCGCAAGACCAGCATATCCTCAAGAACCGCCCGTGGCGGCCGAGCCTCTTGCAAACCTGACTCGCAGTCGCTTTTCCTGCTCCAACGATGTTTTCCTAGACCGTAGCCAGCTTGGCTCCAGGGGGCTCCCAGCCGCAGCGCGGGCAATCCCTGGGGGCGCGGGCTTGCGGGCCGCGCGGATGGCGGCCGACGACGGCGGGCTCGGCTGGTTGCCTGCTGCGGACCGCGTGCGCTTCACGCGGTGGGCGCACTCCTACGAGGGCGCCAAGCTGGCGGAGGAGATGCGCGGCCTGCGCCCCCGGCGCTTCTCCGTGCGGCTGGAGCCCGCCGAGAGCCTCGCGTCGCCCCCGCCGCCGGGCTCGAAGCGGCTGCGCTGCCTGCGCCACGGCGAGGGCGTTCACAACGTCTACCGTGCCCGGGAGCTCGCCGCTGGGCGGCAGCCGCATGCCAAGAGGGGGAATTTCGACCAGATGCCGGCGGACCTGTACGACCCGCCGCTCACCTCGAAGGGGGAGCTGGAGGCCGAGGGGGCCAAGGCGGGTGCGGAGCTGGGGCAGGACCCCGAGCTGCTCGTGACGAGCCCGCTGCGCCGCGCGTGCAAGACAGGGCTCATCGCGTTCGCACGGGCAGTCGAGAACGGGGTGCCCGTCATAGCTCACGAAATGGCGAGGGAGAACTATAAGGGGCTCGACCCCAGCATCTACGACGCGCACCGCGGTTCCGATGAGCTCGCGGCGGAGTTCCCTGGCGTGGATTTCAGCATGATACCTGGCCCAGCAGGGCCAGGCTTGCAGGCAGACCCGATTTGGTGGGGCTACAAGTCGCAGTGTGGGGATGTCCTCGAGGTGGGAGACAACGAGGCGTCGCATGCGTCGAGGGCTTGGCACCTGATGTGCTGGATCATGGACCGTTACGAGAGGGACGTGGCGTTGGCCACGCACTCGCTGTTCCTGCTGTCCCTCTTCCACGGGGCCTTGGACCAGGACGATGGGCAGGGTGGATTCCAGCCGCCAGCGAGCGCGCAGATCTTCCGCACCGGCGAGCTGCGGTCGGTGCTGGTGACGGAGCTGGGGAATCCAAAAAGGTACCGGTACCGCTGCTCCCCGGACCTCTCCCGGGGTGCGTTCTGACCAGGACTTCGGGGCGAATCCAGCGGTGGCGACGAGGGCCGCCCAGGAGCACCAGAAAGGGCAATCGGGCGAGGGAGTAGAGGTATGGTTAAGTCGGGCCTGCCCCTCCACAGAAGGAATATTCAAAAATAGTCAAAAACAATAGTCTGGGGACGATTTGTTTGTACCAGTTTGGGGTATTTTGGGTGTATTTTTTTGACTATTCTTATTTTTCGTCCAAAATCCCCCTGTAGGGGGACAGGCCTGACTTGAGAGTAGAGGTATTCAGCGAGCGAAGAACGGTATAACATAAACTTTCCGCCGTCGGGGACACTTGCCCCTGGGCGGCTGGAAAGTTTATACCCCTACGGTGCCACCGTAAGGATATAAACTTTCCAGCCGCCCTGGGGCAGGTGTCCCCGACGGCGAAACAAATTATTTTATACCGTTCTTCGCCCGTTGAGGTATGGGTACCTCTCCCTCCTCCGAGGAGCGGCCCGCGCCGACGAGGCCGCCGACCAAGGCCGGAGGAGGCCCGCGCGCGCCGCGGAAGCGGCCCGCCGCCGGTGCCCGCGCGGAGGCGCCCGCGCGGAAGAGGCCGAGCGGCGCCCGGTAGGCGCTCGCGCTGGCCCTCGCGTCACGCAGTGTCGGGACGGACGAAAGGGGGGGATTGGGAAAGGGGGGGTTACAGAATTTGCTGCATGCAGCTGGTTTCGGCCCCACCGAGGGGCCCATTCCTCGGTACATAGCCGCCTCCGGCGCCGGGAGGCGCCGGGAAAATCAGCTAGGCGAGCTGATTCTCCCCCCCCCCCCCTTTGCTATCCCCCCCTTTCGCCCGACCCGACTGTGGCGCCGTCGACGCCTTCGGCTCCTCGAGATGTGAGCCACCATGCAAAACAAAGGTGCGTGGTCCCGATGGTGGTCCCGATGAGCAGATCGTGAGGCCGATGCTTCGAGGGATGCGCGCCGAGCGGCGCCCGAGAGGCGCTCGCGCCCGCCCTCGCGGAGGGGGAGACGCTCTGAGGAGCTACAGGTGCCCATGCCGCTACCCTTCGGCTGTTTTCTTCCCCTTTTCGGGGTCTCTCCAGGGCGGCCCTCGTCGCCACCGATGGATTCGCCTCGAGATCGTGGTCAGAACGCGCCCTCGGAGAGGTCCGGGTCGTAGCGGTATCGGTACTTGTTGGTTTCCTCAGACTCGGCGACGCGAACAAAAAAATAAAAAGTGCTCCTAGCAGAGGAAGCTTCGATCCTTCACATCTGCGGTGGGGGCCCTTGCCCAGAAACGCCCTGCTTGCCTCCAGGGTGCCCCGGGTTTCTTGGGCTTCGAGGGGTTATGCTATGGGCAGCGTATCGTCCCCCCACACCAGAAGTCAGTGGACGTCCTGGGGTCTCAGGGTTGGGTTTCTTGTGGAAGGTGTCTTGTGGATTGGCCTCCACTGCACTAATGACCTTAAACAAATCTGCGTACTAAAGCAGAGCGAAAGAAGCCTTCATCAAACGAATCTACAAATCTCCATCAAACCTATGTCGGAGAAGCGCGTCATCGGGGTGGGGACGCAGAAGGACATATTGTAATCCTACAGTATCAAGGATATCCCTTGGGAGGGCGGGCGAGAAGGGGAGCACGAAGGCGGATGAGTTAGTTTCGTAGGTTTGATCTGGACGCGCCACGCGGAAGACGGCGCGACTCTGCTACGGCAGCGCCTGGGGGGCAGGCGACGAGGGGACATCGAGAGGGCGACGAGGGGGGCCAGGGCATCAAATAATTTTGGGCCTGAAGGAGTCGACGTGTCGCTGATTCTCGCGACGGAGATGCGAACCGCGTGGGGAAATGGTAATAGACATGGTTGGAGGATCGGGAGTCCAAGAGGGGACTTGCGCCAGCGGGTCGGTGCTAGGCCAGGGTCGGAATGCGCGTGGGGGCGCAGAGAATCGAATCCGGTGGTGGAAACGGACTTGGAGTTGCCAGCGGGGAAAGCGCCATGGAAAGGCGGCGCGGGTCTCCGAGGATGATGTGCGGGTGGGGGAGGGTGCAGGGAGTGAAGGCGGGGAGAGGAGGGGAATTACATGTGGGCGCGAAGAAGGCGACGGGCTGCTGTTCCACGTGGTGAAGAGGCAAGCCAGCAGGGAAACTTGGCAATGTACATGCATAGGGTACCGGAGATCCCGGAGGGAGTCCGAATGAACGTGTCGGGGGGAGGAGGGGGGTTGGGCTCGGAAATGGGGCGTGCCCGCGGGCCCAAGACAGGAAGTCTGAGATCCGCGACGGGGGGGAAGACTTGGAGCTGCCACGCGGGGAGGAGCCACCGGAGGACGGCGCAGGTGTCCGAGAGTCGATCCCGGACAGGAGAGGCAGTGGGGGATTTTTTTGGGGGGGGCGGGTGCGGTCTGCAGGCCCCGCCGCTGGGGCCTTCGGCGGAGCTCCCGATGGGGCCAGGAAGCGCAGGGCTCGAGCTAAACGGGGTTTTGGCAATTTCGTGGACCGTTTTCGTTTTGACTTCGTTTTGCAGCAAATGTGGAACGAAGACAGAACTAGGGATGACGAAAACAAAACGAAAACGGAAAACACTGTTTAACTCGAGCCCTGAGGAAGCGTGCGAGGGGCTGCCGAAGCAGAGGCACGCACAGGACAGAGGAAAGGATGGGGGAGGAAGGGGGGAGGAGGGGAGAGGAGGAGAGGAGGGGTAGGAACGCCGGGCGCTGTCTCTTCAAAACGCATACAACCACGTAGATGCCAGGAGGTGTCCTGGGCCGTGGCGGCGGGGAGATGTTGGCGGTCTGGCGGAGGGGGTCGGGGGCAGGGGTCGGGGGAGGAGCGACGGGCAAAGTGGAAGTCGAGGTCGGATTGTTCGGACGTTCGAATAAACTGCGCCTGAGAGGACATCGGCGCGGAGGTGAAGGAAGCAAGCCTTTCGGCAAAGGCTGGCTTCGCCTTGCCTGCTCGAGTCTTCAACGCTCCAGTGCGACATTTACGTCGCCTACGCGGAGGCGAAGAAGAACGTAGAATCCCTGGGGCGCTTCTGTGCTGGGGGAAGGGGAACGCGGGGGGGGGGGAGGTACTGGGCATGCGAGAAGGCAGCGTGCGGAAGTGCCAGGGGGTGTGTAGGGGCAGACGCCTGGTCGACGGGGATACGTTTCGGTTTCCCTGCGTGGCGTTGACGGGTCTCGGATTCGACCCGTTGATTGGCCAGTGTGCGCAGGGTCTTGAATCCAGAGCTGGCGGGGGTGCAGCGAGGAACGCGTCGTGGGCAAATGGCGCGGGCGATCGGTCGCGATAGAGCGGCCGTGTGACATGGGCCCCCGTTCCCAAGGGGTGGGTTTGTGCGGCTGTGGGCTACACGGTATGGCGTCTCCACCGAGTGCAAAATCCCCAACGAAGTCGGGTAGGCGCTCTGTCCTTGTTTCGATAGGACTCACTGCTGGGTCCCAGCCGACACCCTCAGCGCAGCAGCGCCCGTTCGGGGGGAACGGGGGGTTGCCCGCAGACGCGTGCGCCGAGGCCTTGATCATAGTTGTATCGGTCGGCGGCTTCGACGCCCACCGGCCTCCAATGTGCCAACTGTACTTCCGCGATCGCGCCCAGCACCGCGAGAGCCAATCATGCATCGCGATCACATTTCGCAGCTCCTCCGGCCCCATGGACGTGAGTATTCGGAATTCCGCGACACGAAGTCCGGGAAGCGTCCCAGGCGGGGCTTCCCGCCCCGCCGCCGGGGCGAGGCCCTGCGTCTGGGCGCACTTCGTGGCCCTCGCGCCCCTCCGCGGGGGGTCCCCGGGGGAAGGCGCCCCTCCCGGGGACTGAGGATGGAGGATGGAGGAGGAGGAGGAGGAGGAGGAGGAGGAGGAGGAGGAGGAGGAGGAGGCGGAGGAGGAGGAGGAGGGAGGAGAGGAGGAGGAGGAGGAGGAGAGAGGAGGAGGGAGGGGAAGGAGGAGGGGAAGGATCTTCATGGGGGGAACGGGCCGTGAGGGAAATGGGTCCTCCGAAATCCTGGCATTGCAGTTGTTTTAAAACGAGCGTTTTCGCCTGGCTCCGGGCCCCAGGGCCCTCACATATCTATCCGGTCTGAAAGCTGGCGCACGCAGATGGGGTCCGGCGCTCCGTCGATGATTTGTTGGCAATGTTGCAACTGTTGTGCGGCGTCGGATGTCAGCGTCCTGGAGTAACCATTTTGCCATTGTCGGGCCCTCGGAGCCCTCCACGGGCCTGGGGACTGTCGGACAACGCCTCGGGATGAGGAGCTCGTCCCAGGACGAGGCTCCAGGGTCCAGGGCCCGTTTCTCTGAGGACTCCCCATGCTCAGAGGAGGAGGAGGAGGAGGAGGAGGCGGAGGAGGAGGAGGAGGAGGCGGAGGAGGAGGAGGAGGAGGAGGAGGAGGAGGAGGACCGCCAGATGTCTCGGGAGGCCTCTGGGGAGGCCCGAGGCCCCGAGACGCCCCCGAGGCCTCCGCCGCCTCCGCCCTGGAGAGCCGTCGAACCTTCTCGGGCCTTGATCCTCTCGGCGGTGGCGGTGGCGGGCCGCGGGCCGCAGAGGAGGCCGACAGCCTGCTCCGCGACTTCCCGGAGAGGGCGCACCTGGCGGGGCGCCGCGGCCGCCGCAGCGCCAGCTGCTCGACTTCCAGAGGGCATCGCTCGGTCTCGGCGAGGACCCTGGTGGAGGAGCATCCTGGACCATCGAGCAAAAAAAACACCCACGAAACCGACAAATGCACGGGAAATGGACGTCCGAGCGACGGCAAGACTGGGGGACCAGGGGGGAGCAATGATTCCATATCCAGCGCCCGCCGAGATCCCCGAAGATCGGTCCCCCCAGGCAGCGGTTCGAGGCAGGTCCCCGCCTGGCGCGTGCGCAGGGGGAGGCCTCTCAGCTGCTCGCCTCGCTCGAAAGCTGCTCTTCCTGAGCAAGGGGAAACAATAGGTGAAACAAAAAGTGGCATAAACATAAAAACTCGGAGGTCCGCGCAAATTCCTCGGATCGGCGATGGGGCCCCCCAGCGGCGCCTGCGGCGCCGCTCCTGGAGCGCTCCGCGCGCCAGGGAGTGGGGTCCAGCGCCGATCCGAGAAATCCGCGCGGAGCTCCGAGGTTTGATGCTTATGCCACTTTTTGGTCCCCCTAGACAAGCAGGCAGAACAGACAGCTCCGGGAGGGCTTCCTGCTCGGGGCGTTGGGGGGAGCCGTGCTGCCGCGTGCAGGGGAGGTCGTGCTGCTCCTGCCGTCCCCGTCGCCGCCCGAGGGCGCTCCCAGCAGCTGTTGTCGTGACCTGGGCCAGCACTGCAGCCAAGGCTCAGGAGGGGCTCTGGTTTCGGGGCCGTTCCGCAGACCTCGGTCGGGGAGTGGAGTCGTGGCCGAGGCTCGCTGTGGCCAGAAAGAGCCTCTTCGTCCTCGGTCCGCCCTCCGCATGCCAGCACGATGGTCGTACGCTGGGGAAGATGAAAGGGGCCATGTGACGGTAGGGAGGGGGCGGTCCGTGGTGGGAGGGGAGAGGAGTTGGCGGATGCGCCATGGAGCTTTGAAGGGCGATCGCGACACGGTCGCACCCCGCTGGCGGTGATATCCTTGGTTCTCTGCGTTCGCCTTCCTTCCCATCCCGACCATTATCCTCCCCTCCTTCCTTCGCCCTCCGATTCGCTCCACCCCACTTCCCTGCCCCCTGCTTGAAGTCTGTCTCTTCCATCCCCCTGGAATCCTCTCATCCTTGCCCGAGTTGTCGTCGCCCGTCCGACCACAACCCGTTCAAAGTCGGTGCCTGGCCCTCTCCGCTTGTCCATGCTTGCTGGATGTTCGGGTTGTGTCCGGTCGTGGCCACGCGACCCTCCAGAAACACCCAACAGCTTGCGGAGACAAAGCAAAGACGTTGCTGTCGTTGACGTCGCCTCCGTAGCCATGTTGGTTCAGGCCACCTTGACCCTAGACCAGTGTGACCACATGCGGCCGATGCGTCCCTCTAGCGCCACACATAGGCAGTCCGCCCGAGGCTTGCGCGTGCGCACGGCCCCATGTCGGCGCGCCCTTCGCGGTCATCGTCCTCGTCCTCGTCCTCCTCTTCTGCAGGAGCCTCTGACGTCGCGATCCGATTCAAAACCGGCGCTCTTCCTCGGCTTCGGCCGGGCCTCGAGAGGCTCATTTCGGGCCTTGGGACCGCCAGAATACCCCAGACGTACTGAGCCCCTCCTCCACGCGAGGCGAATATTTGTATGCGCGCTCCATACAAAACACACCGCCAGATATGCACGATCTGCGCTGGCCTCACCTCCGCCGTGCCTCCCAGGAGCCCACGAACAGTTGCGCAGTTCGCAGCCACCCTGGGAGCTGCGAGGTCCCTAATGGGTCCTCGTGGCCCCCGACTCCGCTGGACCTCCCGGGAGCCCACGAAAGAGGCGACAGCTGCGCAGTTCCCAGCCTCCCAGGGAGCAGCGCAGGAGGAGGCAGGAGAGAGGAGGAGGAGAGGGAGGAGACGGGATTGCGACCGCAGTGCCCTATTCCAATCGAGAGCCCAACACAGGAGGCTTGGGAAAACACAGCTGACTCTGGCGAAGCGAACCGGTGCACATGCACCGACCCGTGCCTGGCGCATCCTGGGCCCAACATCAGGAGTGCATGGCTCCCTGGCCAAGCCAGTAAGGCGTATGCGCCGATCGTGGGCTCAGGACGGGCCCAGCCACAATCGGTGCATGTGCGTGGTCCTCTTTGTTCTTATAAAGTCGGGGCCCTGAAGAAGGAACCCTTTTGGTTGGGGAGGGGCTCCGCGTTCCTTAAGTGTTTCACAGCTTGCCTAAGGTTTTCCTTATGTCTTCGATAGGAAATCGAAGTTTCACTTATGGAAAAAAGGAGCCTCGTTCCTTATTTAGGGTCCTTAGGTCAACGCCCCGACTGTACTGCAAGAGATGATGGGCGGTCGGGGGGGGATTCGGGGGACCCCGCCTTGGAAAAGGCAACGAGGTCAGAGGCGTCTGCGTCGGCGTCCTCCACCTCCTCCCCCTCCACCCCTCGCGCCCCTGCAAAGCCAGCGCCGGCGCGTTTTTCGCGAGCAGCGGTGGTCCCGCGCCTCGCGCTCCCTCTCCTTCTCCTGCTCGCCCTTGCCTGCCTCCTCTCCAGAGCCCCCTCGCGTCGCGACAAAAGTCACGACGGAAGGCTTGGGCCATTTTCGGCCCCAGGGGGGCTCTCGCCAGGTGACCGTCAAAAACGGCTCGCGATATCTTGAGAAAGCCCGTCCTGGGGAATGGGTTTGAGACTTCCAGGGCCTGGGACTTCGCCAGATCCCCTATCAAGCAGTGGCGAAGCGTCCTGACTCGCCTATAGCCCTACCAGACGATGTTCTAAGAACCTCTTGTGGTTCCCACGAAATGGTCTTAGAACATTTCTGGCTGGGACTGTCTCGTTTTAACACATCGGGTTTATCTTCTAAGAACATATTGTTTTTGTCCTTAGAACATTTTTGGGTTCGAAGAACACTTCGTGGTATGACTATAGAAATGCCCGGACGGTCGGTCCCTGCTGAACCCCATCGCCGTGATCCTTTTTCGCAACGCTTGGCCCCAAAAGCCCGCTCCTGAGCCGTCCCTCGACGGCCCCCGGGCATGGGGTGCAGGCGGGCCGAGAGCGCTCAGAGAAAACATCCCGCCGCGCTTCCCGGCGGGAGATGCGGCGGGAAGCGCTCAGAGAGCTCAGAGAGAGGAGGAGGAGGAGGAGGAGGAGGAGGAGGAGGAGGAGGAGGAGGAGGAGGAGGAAGAGGAAGAGGAGTAGGAGGAGGAGGAGGAGGAGGATTCCGACATTCTCAGAGCTCAGAGAGACCTCCGACGACATGATTCTTTGCAGCGCGCGGCCCCTTGCCTGGGGCCAGTCTTCCGTCCCGGATCCACTTTCGATGGCCCCGCCCCTGCAGGGGTCGACATCGAAGAACAACTCCTAAGATCTAAGAAACAGCATGACGTCGGAGATCCGGGTTCTTATCCCGCGGCGCGAGGGGGGTCTGGGCGCTCTTCCTCTTCGCCGGCGCGTCCCGGGCGGCCAGCCCGGCGCTCACGGCCGCCCGGCTGAGCCCCGACGGCAGCTATGCGGTCGGCAGCCCAGACGGCGGGCCAGTGCGGTTCCAGTTCGCGCCCGTGGACGGCTCGGCGGGCGTGGGGACGGAGATGTCGGGGTTCAGGCATCCGGAGAGCAAAAAACCGCATGAACGTAGGAATTCTAGACGCTTCGCGTAACCCCACCAGCAGACGTGCCTTACGGCCCTGGCCGTCTCAGTACTGTTCTCACTCTGGTCTTTGCCTGGGCCCCGCCACGGCCTGGCGTGGTTTTCTGGCCCTTTCGTGACGTCAGCGGCTCACGCGTCTTGACCAGCCCTGGTACACGTGCTTACACTCCTCCGGGCCCTGCTCCCCAGACACTGGTCGGCTTGGCCGTGTCTGGCTCTTACTCCGCCACTGGCGCTGGGCTTCGTCCTCCTCAGCCGCAGCGGTGGCGCCCGTTACCTGGCCGCATACCTCTCCGTTCCGTCGTTCCGAGTGTGCCCTGGCGTCAGGTCTCGTGAGTTCTGGCCGCTTCCAGCAGTGCTTGCACTCCCCTGGCTCTGGTCTTCTGCCGGCCCTGGGGTACTGGCCGCCGTGTCTTGCAGGAGTGGTTCAGCCTTCTTGTTCAGCCTGGCGTGTCACCTAGCGGTCTGCCTCTCCGTCCTCTGGCGCCCGGTGGCGACAAGGATTAGTTCCCGTGCCTGGTGATCTCGCTTCCATGGTACTCGCACGTTGCAGCTCCCCGCCGCCCCCGCAGCTGGCAGCTTCCACCCCTCGGCGCAGCTCAGCCCCGGCGCAGCTTCCCTCGGCGGTAGGTTTAATCTGCTCGCTCGGCGCGCGCGCCGGCAATTAGGGTGCTCGCGGCCCGCGCTACTCTACTGACGCTGTCGGCTGGTCGGCCTGCAGCTGCGACTAAAAAGTACCCCCACCAGCCCATCCCAAGTCGACTCCCAGGCGAATTGAGACGATCAGGGACGTGTAGGAGCAAAGAGGGGGACAGCCGTCATCGCTCGAGGGAAGATGATGATGTTTGAGGAAGGAGGGATAAGGATGATCAAGTTGCTGATGAGGAGGAGCGGGAGCAGGAGGAGGAGGAGGAGGAGGAGGAGGAAGTGGAGGATGAGGGCGAGCAGCATGATTAGACTAGACGCTTCTTGATGCCTCTCGGCGTTTCTCCCGATATTTGTTGAGCGCTTGTATGATCCTTGGATCGTCTCGGGAACGTCGTGGCGGTTCCGAGAAACTCTTGGGGCGTCTTGGATGCATCTTGGAAGAGCATTTTGGGGGGGCCTCTTGTAAGCATCCTTGGGATTCGTGTGGGAATTGGGGTCTGTTGGGGGCTCTTTGGGGATTCTCTTGGGCGCCTCCTTCTATTCCCTCCTCTCACTTCCTTCCTCGACCTGGACGGCCAAAGTGAAACCCGGCAAGGTCGCGTAACACAGGTCGCGTACCATCACTGACAGGTCGCGTACCACAGATCGCGTACCATGAGACATAAGGTCGCGTGCCACAGGTCGCGACTTGCCAGGCGTCTGGAGGGCGTCTGGGGGTCCTCTTGTCGGGCCCAGGGC